AACCGGATGATTACACAAATAACTAATATCAACTTCGTAGTGGACGAATAAGAGTGCGAATGAATGTGATGTGAATTTGATTGCTATGCAAGCTATGATTAAGTCGTGCAGCCAGTGGTCACCGCTTATTCATAACTTGTTAGTCGTCACGAAAGCTTGCCGAGTGATTATGTTTGAGGAATTATTGAAAGTGATTGAAAAGACAGGAATAGACTATGAAACGTATGAGTATATCTAAAGAAAAACAAATTACAATGCTAGTTATTGGGATGCAGCCAGTGGTCACCGTTTATTCATAACTTGTTAGTCGTCACAAAAGCTTACCGAGTGATTATGTTTGAGGAATTATTGAAAGTGATTGAAAAGACAGGAATAGACTATGAAACGTATGAGTATATCTAGAGAAAAACAAATTACAATGCTAGTTATTGGGATGCAGTTCAAGAGTTGAAGTCTTATTTCAATCAAAAGTTCAGTAAAGAATAACGATTTCAGCTTGCATTTTGGTCGAATGGAATGATTTTCAAAGTTGTTCCATGCCTTCTGCTAACAATATCAATAGCTGTTCTACTCAAGATCATCGCTGACGTCTCACATAGGAGACGATCGTTAGCACAGGTTGTTATTGGTGCTGTTGTATTAGCGCGATTCTATGTTCTTGATATCCAAATGCAAATCCACTCTTCTGAACAGGGTTCGTAAAATGTTCACGTGAAATTAGTACTCGATGAAGGAGGATGCCCAGAAATGTTCGAAATCCCATTAGAATGTGCTGGATACTTTATAGTCTCCGTATAATAGCAGATATAATTCAGATTATTATCTGGGTTTGGTAATGAATACTTATGTAGTGAAATTTCATCCGTGAAACTTATAAAATTGGTTATTGTATTGAGGAGGGCGTGAATGCTCTACCTGTTATTGTTTTTCTTGCCAGGGTTTATGCTAAGCACTTGACTCTTTGATCAAAGTAAGAGATCATGTAAGGCAATCAATTGGTTGAAGGTGATGAAAAAGAAGAAAATGCCCAAAGACCATACAACACCGATGTTAGTGGCCGTGCTATCGATTTTTTTGATAGCCGAATTGCCGCAGGGCGTGATGTCCGTTCTAACTGGCATTTATTCCAGAGAAACATTCCATCAAAAGGTTTATCCAGTTCAATTCGTTCATCATCACTTCTATCAAATTTATTCTGCCACATTTCTATGGCAAATATTCAATTAAGTAAACCATTAAGTTGGCTATATCCTTGTTTAGTGCAGTTCATTTGAATGAAATAACCAATCATCACACACTATTAAATTTTCAATCAAATTCGACGAAACAATTGCCCTAAATAATACTCAGAATGCAGCATCGTCGAGTAATTAGATCCGAATTGCGAATCGATGAAATCTCCCTTAAACGAGGGACAGAATCGTTTACTTCGGAAAATTATTCCGTCTTGAAAAACACCAAAATGGATGCACATCACTTATCACAAATGAAAATTTAGTGAGGCAATGTTGTTGAAATTTCAGATATATTTACCACTTGGCAATCTGATGGATTTGTTATCGTTGATTAATTCAGCTGTTAATTTCTTGATTTACTGTGCGATGAGTCGCAAATTTCGTATTGTTTTCTTGCAGCTCTTCCTTCGATGCCTTCCATCTGTTTTCTTTAGGTTAGTTCTCTTGACGAGCATCCTTTCAGAAACTCAATCGAAATCGATTGATTCACAGTCAAAATCGAAGAACTATTTCACCTTATCACTGATCGTGAGCAGAGTAACTGTTTTTTAATCCAAAATAATTCATATCCTACTTCCTCAAGTGAACTTTTGAATGTATTATGCGATGTTTTTCATTAGATGCGAACAGAAGATATTTAATTCAATTCCGATATGTTATTCCGACGTTCTCACGGAGCGAAAAGGCTGCCCGTGTAAATTTTTATTTGTTTCGATAACAATCAACGTATGGGACTTCATTTCCATAACAATTTCAAATGACAGTTCCGCGTATTCTAACGCACCTAGCATCAGAGAATAACAATCAACGAAACATGGGATTTCAACCGAACAAAAGTTTCTGTCTTGATAAAATTTTCTTCGAAATGCTATTGTGAATTCTTTAGTGCGAAATTATTAACTGCTCAAAGAATATGTGAAAATGGATCTGTCAAAGGTGTAATTAATTCATCAAACACTACGACCATTCTACAGCTAAGTATACAGACCGATAAAAAAAATCGCAACATTACGCCATAAGTACAGCAGCAATATCCGTGAGAGCTGGAACATGAGAAACGTTTGAAATCGAATATCTTCTGAGAACAGATAATCTGGCACTCTGAGAAAATTGGAATTTCAGAGATGTTGATGACTTCAGCAAAAATGAAGCTTTTGAGTATTCGCGATCGCGTGCTCGCACTGCGGACTACACCAGGAGTGAGCAGGTAGAATCTTGAGCATATTCGATAGCATGTGGAACCTTCCAACTATATCTGTAACCGAGGGATATCGGTGAAAAACTCATGAACTTCGTTGTTCTGCTAGTTCATTGGAACATTTTTGAAATTCGTTTTCAAGATGAAAACTTTAAAAACCGACTTCATTTCAATTGAGAATTTCCATCTTGTAGAGTGATCGATCAACGCCATAATGTTGCGAATTGATCGATGTCTTTTTATTCGTTTATTCGTTTTTGTTCGTCAAGAGAATTTTTACCGAATAAGATTGAATTAGCTAAGCTGACAACTTGGTCACTGTGAGCTTCCCACGGAAATTTTAGTCGTTATCAAAGGAGGATGATTTCAGTTTCCACTAACGTCAACGCATCGTCCAAGTGCGACCTCGATGCTGATCAGTTTTGGAGGTAATCGCGATGGTCAAGTGGTGCATCGACGTTATGGAGACACTTTAGCAGTTGGCTTGCCATCCGCCTCAGTGGTTAACAGCCAACAACACAAAATCTTGAGTGCTGGGTTGGTTTTTTTGCTTGATCTATACACCAGTTCATTAGACAGTATTGTTTTTTATTCTCTTAAGCATTCCCCCTTCCCTTTATCTCATTTGGTATTTCCAATTTTAAACGGTTCATACTCCGACAACTCCATCAGAAAGCGATTATTCCATCTCACTTCCTTCACATTCTTTCAAATCATCAGCCATCCTCTCCTGAACTTATTTCGTTATCGTCTCTTATNACTCTGAAGCAAACAAATTCACTGATTGTGTTCTGTTTCAATCGAATTTTCGCCGCAGTCAAGACTGAAATGAAGATGCTTTCAGTGATGATATAATTAAGTTGTACTCATTTAAAAAAATCATCAGATCATAGTCATCATTTCTCTGCTAAGTTGAGAGTGAGTTCGCGAACGACTCGAATCAAATAAATTTTTAGTGTATCTCCACTGGCTGCGATGAATCAATCGTCGACATCTCTGTGTAATCTTACCCTAACACCACCATCACAAACACAAACAACAACAACAACACTCCGAACCATCCCACAAACCAATCAGAGCGATCACCAAACGAAACGTTTACCGTCATCATTTCGAACGGCTGATCGCTCAATCGTCACAAATATCATCACCACTAACGACTCTTCCTCATCACTCGAACAAATCTTCATTGCCGTCCCATCGCTCCCATCAACAACCGCAATTTACAAATCGCCTCGTTATTGCAAATCTTCCACTGATATTGCCGTCACTTCCTCCTGCGCATCTCCGTTTAGCCGCCCTCCTCAACATCGCACTAATACCAATCGTAATCACGTGAATAACACCAACCCTCGACGTCGCTTAGTGAAAGTTGGATTGTTTCATTCACCCAGGAATAGCATCGAGCTGGAACGACAATTTCAGGTTTTTGACCATTTCGTTGTGTTTCCATTGTTTAAGATTATTGAAGAAAAAAAAAACAGAACAAACAAGCTTTCAAAGATTTCAGACGTTGAATTTACATGATCAGGCATTGAGACATGATTATTCTGTAGTGTTTTTGAGTGTTTCTCGTGAAACTGTGCTCTAAATCACTCTGCACTGCACTGCACACTCGCAATCTGATGTAAGTTGGAACTAGAAATATTTTCTCAAATTTCAGGATTCAATAAGGCGCTTGAAGAAACCAACCGCAATCGCTCATATCAAACCAGTGAGCAGATTAAAACGAATATTCTCGAAGCAAACTAAACAACCACCATTAATGGATGATTTGAGTCTGCAGTGCACCATGGATAATGTCACGAAAGCGGAGAAAAATGGTGCCGATTTGTCATTTCAATTCGAATCGAATTCACTCAAAATTAATGACCACTCATAGTCGACTTGATGAAGTTTTATGCAAATCAACTCCGAAGCAAACAAATTCACTGATTGTGTTCCGTTTCAATAGAATTTTCGCCGTATTCAA